CTGGGTATCGATGAATCTCCCGAGATAGCATTTTTGTCTGAACTTGAATTTCGTATGAAAGTGTATGAAGAAGTAGTTCAAAGATCGATCTCACCAGAAGAGGACGGTTGAATCCCGTTGTACTGTAGCCGTTCAGCTTTTATACGACGTTGAAATTGATGCAGTCCACGAGTTCTCCTCCCTTTTTTCAGGGCTGAGCTTTCATCCATCATATGATATATACATCACAGCTGGAACTCATTATTGTAAAATTTAATTGCGAATTTAAATGAATTTGCATTTTTTTTCTACATAACTTGGCCTATCCAAGACTACCATTGCTTCAATTTTGTCGGCTTTCATAACAATTAGATTATTTCTACACGGATATCTAGAAATCCTACAAAGAGGACAAGCTTTCTTTGGCGGAATTGTATAGTCAAAATGAAGGCTTACCCCTGCTTCAATACTATTGCCCGAAGAGGTAAAGAATAGTATTGAAGTGGAGGTGATCCCTCATTTTGACCATTTAATTCCGCCAAATAAAGCTTGTCCTCTTTGTAAGATTTCTAGATATCCGTGTGATAATAATCTAATTGTTATGAAAGCCGACAAAGATGGAGCAATGATAGTGATGGATAAGCCAAGTTTTGTAGAAAAAAAATGCAAATTCATTTGAATGACACTCAAACAGATGCCTTTATCGAGAGGTCCAACAGAAACACCTAAGATTAGGCTAAAGAATTTTCTTAAGTTATGCCTAAGTAATGGTGAAAAGGAGATGCGGAAGATGAATTCACTACTCCAGAGAGATGCAAGAGCCCCCACGGCTTTCGGGCTCCCTAAGGTTCACAAGGAGGGTGCCCCTCTAAGCGTAATTGTAAATAATAAATGAAGTGTGATGCATAAAATCTCAAGCTTTTTATGCATACAACTAAAGAAAACTGCCAATTTGTAGCTATATTCAGTTAAAAAATTTAATTATTTTTGTAAGTTGATTGATCAGCAGACCCTTTCAGAAGAGGATAGGATAGTAAGTTTTGATGTTGTGCCTATGTATGCCAACATTCCTGTTCAAGGAGCTATTCAAGCTCTGTTACAAACTCTGGAGGAGCATCCAGAGATAACACAAGGACTAAGGTTGAGTGTAGCTTCCATAAATATACTTATTAACTTATGCATGAATTGCACATATTTTACCTTGGATAGCAAGTTATACGAACAAACACAAGGACTAACGATGGGATCTTGCCTGGCCACCATCTTGGCGAACAATTATACGGCAAGACTGGAGAAACACTTTCTGCAAGCGGCAATACTAACCCCCAAATTGTTTGTTAAATGGATAACTATTTTGTCACCTGGCCTCATAGTAAGAAAGTTTAGACTATTTCCTACTTTCCTCAACTGGCATGAAAGTAACATTAGGTTCACAATGGAAATGGAACAGAATAAGTCCTTACCTTTTCTGGAGGTTCTCATCATTAGAGAAGAGGGTGAGTTAGGAAGAGAGGTTTATAGGAAGCCAACATGTCTTGGCTCTTTGCTTGATTTTCTTTGCAACCATAGTTACAAAATAAAGGTTGGAATTTTAAAGTCAATGATTATTATGAGTATGAGGCTAGCGGGTAGCAAACAATTTGACGAAAGAGTTGGAACGGCTGACAAATTTATTCCTGAAAAATAAGTATCCTTTGGGGCATACTGAGAATAATATCTCTTTACAAAGGAATAAATTTTCAGAAGAAAACCATTTTGTCAAAGATAGACAAGCTGAGACCATTTCCAATATCATATTTTTAAAATCATGCCTTCTTTCAAAAAATATAGGAAAATTAGTAAAGAATTGGGGATAAAAACATTATTTGTCGCATATACGTATTGTTTCGAGATTACCAGTAAATCAGTCGTATGAGAGGTATTCACCCAATTTTGTTTAAGGTGATGAAGGTTTTGTAGAAGAATTCTCCCACAATGATATGAGTAGAGCTGACGTTTCCATCGAATTTCACACAGCCTTGCTTTCCCAAAAGTTGTTCTCATCCAGAGTGGACTGCAGTTTCGACCTCGCATCGGTTTTATCAACACCCCCAGCGGGAGTCGAACCGTGACAGTGCAGAATGTGAACTTGACGCGTTAACCACTCGGCCACATTGCCACGAGTTCCCTTGTTTCACAGGGCAAATGTGAATTTTAAGGAAGGCCATGCCTTTTGCCATATCATAATCTTTGGTGGGATTGTTGATGAAGCACACATATATTTGCTGGATGAGAACAACTTTTGGGAAAGCAAGGCTATGTGAAATTCAATGGAAACGTCAGCTCTACTCATTTTATTGTGGGAAAATTTTTCTTCTACCAGTCCTTTATCACCTTAAACGAAATAAAGTCAATAAATCTGGTAAAAGACATTGTTTAAAGAAATCCTTACACTTTCTTCTGTTATGCCATCTTTCAAAGAGAAATATGACCCATTATCGAGTTTCGGCTACTACAAGATTATTTGTTCATGTGGTCGATGTTATGCTGGTGATACATTCTGATTTACTCGATAAAGATTGGGGGAACACAAAAATGCTCTTAAATAAAGCTGGGTTCAACGGTCGGAGGTAGCCGAACACATGATAGAAACTGACATGAGATAAAATGGTCTAAACCTAGTAGGTTTGCTGATTATGGTACGTCTGCGGTTAAACGAAAGATAAGAAAGGCTATTGAAATTAATATAATAAGAAATACGTTCAGTTTGAAAAACGATGCAAGAATGTTAGGTAGGAACTACTTATCGAAGGTATGAAGACCAAGATGGTGTGGCCTTTTTTGTGGTCGCAGTCTCCTTTCGTTGTATAGAAGTTGTTTGACTTTGTTTCCGCAACATGGTCATATTTGTACGAAGACTTAGAGGAACGCACCTAGTCCGGACTCCATTCTATCCGCTTTATATCTATAGTACCAAGTCTATGATTTGCCATGCCCTAGCTTATTGTGTACCAACCCACAAATATTGTGGTTCAACATTGAACCAAATCAAAACAAGCTGTACCACAATATTTGTGTGTTGGCACACAAGAGACTAGGGCATGGCAAATAATAGACTTGGTATTAGGGATAGAAAAAGGATAGAGATGGCAGGGGCCGAAGCTAGTTGGCTGACGCTAGGTCTGTTTTACCAGAGACGTGGTACATGTAGCAAAGGGGTGACCATGACACTCAGAGGCTTGCGCCTCGAATTAGTCACCCAGACACATAGGAGGGCGAAGTTGCCTTGGCAACGATGAAAATTTTCGGCCATTTTGCTGAAAGGTCCCATTGGAAAAATTCACCTATATATGGGATAAAATAAGGTCTTCAGAATGCTTAAATTAGAATAGCCGCCACTACATCTCGGCACCCTGGTTGAATGCATGAGATGATCGTTAATTATTTGGAGAACGGGCACGGGACCAGAAGAGCCCATGACGTAATAAAGAGTTGAGTACAATAGGACTTGACAAACGAACATCTTCTCTGTCCGTCACTGCTAAATTATCATAGCGTCTTCGGGTGTGTCTACAAATGCTAACTGGTAGACTAAATCTTTTTAACCTAATTCAAGAAGCTCATGGTTTAGATAGCCGATAGTTTTTTTACTAGTTGTGACGCCTTAGGGAAAAGAACATTCATGTGGAACTAGTTTCCCCATGGCTTGGCGACAGATTGTATAAGATCTATGTATAGGACAAAAGATAAAGCCTAGGTGGTAACAATCCAGATTTTTAACTGGCTGGGCACCAAGGCCCTGGCAAGTGGCTTCCGCGATAACAACTTGGTGATAACAACTGGATACTATATTCGTATTAGAGTAGGGTTTCATTACAACTGGATACTAGTCGTCGTGATCCAATTCTTCACTCTATTATGGACAGGGTGAACTACTACATCTTTCATCTATGTAAATGAATCAAATTAAGAAGAAAGCATAATACTTATTTATACTATATGGTTACTTTTAAGCCTTGTCAGGTGCATAAAAGCATTCAATAGGAATTGATAAATTGGATGGACCGGCACGTCGGTACCATTTTGCAATAAATATAGTTTAAATAAACTACTCATAGTAATATATGCTATATAGCAAAAAGTCAAAAGCATCACGATCTCAGATTTGAAATTAGGCAGTCTTAATAATTACTTTTCGATCTAATCATCTATACATGTTGTGTTCACCCTATTTCGTTTAGGGTAATGAAGGACATAGAAATTGATAGGTAAAAATTCTTGTTCTGTCATGAAATTGACATCTGTCCTGTGACCCAAGAGCACTCGTAGCAATGTGGCGTAATGTTTAACGTGTCGAGATTAGACGCTTCACTACTATGGTTCGACTAACGATAGGGGTGTTAATAAGACCTATGTAGGGTCGAAACTGCAGTGCACCGTAGTTGAGAACGCCTTTTGTGAAAGCAAGGCTGTATGAAATTAAATGGAAACGTCAGGTCTATTCATATCATTGGGGGAAAATTCTACTTGTTGAGATTACTTCCATTTCCTCAGTGAGCTTTGTCATTCTCCGCACCTAGCTACGAACTCGTCAAAGAGACAAGTTAAGTCAATATCTCGACAACCGTTCTGCCGAAAACGGTCACATTATCATTCCTCATTCCGTCATTGCCTAACTCTCTACTCTTTGCACTCTTATCCCACTGCAGCCCTATCACAACTTCTCACTTGTTTACATTCCAATCATCAAAATGTCTGCCCTTTTGTGGCAAACCGAGTGTGGCCTCATCAAACTTGTTATTTACCCCGACCACTCTCTTTCGATGGGCTTATCCAACTTGGGCCTCCAATCCGGATCTCTTCAGTGTCTTGTAGATCCATTCCTTATCTTTCTGGTTGACCGATTTCACTTTGGTCCAGTCCCTGTGTGCATTTCACTCCAGGCGCTATTTCTCAAGGTCCTAGAAGCACATACACTGCCGCTTTACTGAGCGGAGCGCTTAAGCTCTGATTCTCATGCTTGCAGATATCAGGCCTTCCCTTCACGGATCCTTGTTTGGTATCCATTTACCTGCATAGCCTCTAATGTTCCTTAATTCGTGTGCTAATTTCTCTCTCCGTTTCGCCAATATATTTCTCTCCGCAGCCGCCGCATGATATACAGTAACTTCCTGAACATTCCAATTTGGTAGACTTGTGAAAAGTGTTGATTTCTCCTTCATGGCCACCTGAATATTCCATTTACTCAATATTGGTCGTAGATTTTGGGTTAGTTCACAGGAAGGCAGGAATATCCACTTTTGTGAATCTTTCATCGTCCTTACTGTTCTTTCAAAGTCCCCGTTCTGCCATCGGCTTTTCACGGCCCGTATGTTTCTTTGTATCACTTCGCTTAGGTAGCCATTACCGAGGAAGATCCCAGTCAAGTTCTCCAGCTCCTCGACCCAGAATTCTGCATCCGTCAGGCGTAGGCTCCTGATGATCATGCTCCTCAGTAGTCCAATCTTTATCCTGTAATTGTGATGGGACCAGAAATTGAGTATAGAAGTTCTTTCTGAACAATTTTTTTTCAGCGTTCCATTAGAACGAAACGATTCAACGCCCAGGAACGGTAACCGCTCACCTTCCTCTACTTCCATTGTGAATTGAATTTTTGCATCAATCTGGTTTACAAATTTCAGAAACTCTTCTAGTTTTTCTTTTCTATATGATCAAAGTGCAAACTAATCATCCAGGTACCGCATGAGCACTGTCGGTTGTAGCGGTGCCGTCTTGAAGCTCTCTTTCATTTTATTCATGTTTACGTTTGCTAAAAGTGGTGAGAGCGGTGATCCCATGGGAAGTCCGAATATATGTTAATAGATGATTCCGTTGAATGTAAAATAGGTGGTTCTTACTGTCACGTTGAAAGTCTTGTTAATGACTCCCTCCTGATCCATTGTGATTCCAGGACATCCTCCTCTCGGTCGAGGATTTTCAGCAGGGCCGTTAGTAAATTCTCTCCAGAGTTATTTGTATACATTTATTTGACATAGAAACTTACCAATAAGTCCGTTTCTTCCAGTGCCATGTTTTTTATTTTTTGAAAAAATTCATATGAATGTTTCACCGTGTTTGATAGCCTCTCATTTAATTTCTTGAGTTTCGAGCATATAAACTTGGCCAAATTGTGTTTTGCTCCATACTAGTTGTTGACTATTCGCCTTAATGGCGCGCCTTCCTTAGGTATCTTCGGTAATCCGTATGCTGTTAATGGTCTTGCATCCTTTCTTATGACTTACTTTCTTGTAAATGCGTCAATTTCCCCATTCCTATTCATATCTGCATGAAAATTGCAGATTTATGGGACAAGGAGCTAAACAAATTGACTAGGATCTTCGTCGGCAATGGCTACTCAAATGAAGGGATACAAAGAAACATACGGGCCGTGAAAAGCCGATGGAAGGACGGTGACTATGAAAGAACAATAAGGACAATGAAAGATTCTCAAAAGTATATATGCTTGATTTCATGCGAACTAACTCAAAAACTACGGCCAATATTGAGTAAATGGAATATTCAGGTGACCATGAAGGAGAAATCAACACTTTTCACAAGTCTACCAACACAAAATGAATGGGTAAAAAATTGGACTGCTCAGGAGTTTACTGTATATCATGTGACGGCTGCGGACAGAAATATATTGGCGAAACGGGGATTAAAATTAGCACACGAATTAAGGAACATCAGAGGCTATGCAGAAAAATGGATACTGAACGATCAGAACTAGCGGAACACATCGCACAGACTAGACACGAGATCAATTGAAAGGCAACAGAAATAAGAGCCTCATACGGTGACAACACAAGGAAGCGGAAGATTAGGGTGGCCATTGACATCTTTGGGGAGACAAATCTAATGAATAGGAGATTGGAGGAGGGTATAGTTAGCGATAGCTTTGCCTACTGCCTAAGCAAAATCGGGGAAGTCAACAGAGCAATACCAAAGGAGACGCCTGGACCAAGGATCTGCCGCTAACCGGATGAAATGGGATTACGATGACCAAAGGGGGGGCAGGGATATTCGGCAATTAAGAGAGGACGTTGTTAGTGAGGGATGGCCATTTTGAATAAACCAGTGTAACTTTGGGGGCCTTACAGTCAGGGTGCTGTGCAGACGGATAAGCACACCGTCATAGAAATTAGGGGTTCTAACCAAATTGTACAATATATCCATTTGACATGATGCATGCGACCAGAGATAGGCGCTTACAGTTTGCTCAGATAACCTGGGTTTAATCAAGGATAGGACCTTTAAGGGAAGGCCTGATATCTGCACACATGGTAATCAGAGCTTAAGCGCTCCGTTCAGTGAAGCGGCAGTGTATGTGCTTCTAGGGCCTTGAGAAGTGGCGCCTGGAGTGAAATACACACATAGGGACTGGACCCGAGTGAAATCGGTCAACCAGAAAAATAAGGAACGGATCTACGAGACAATCAGAGGATCCGGATTGGAGGTCTGAGTCGGATAAGTCCATCGAAATAGAGGGGTCGGGGTAAATAGCAAGTGTGATGAGGCCACACTTGGTTTGCCATAAAAGGGCAGACATTTTGACGAGTGAAATGTAAACAAGTGAGAAGTTGTGATAGGGCGGTAGTGGGATAAGAGTGTAAAGAGTATATAGTTAGGCAATGACTGAAAGAGGAATGATAGTGTAACCGTTTTCGGCAGAACGGTTGTGTTATCGACGTATTTTTTCATTACTACTTTGTTTTTATTAGGTGAGAATAACAAAGAAATTCGTATATACATTGATAACTCACATTGCATTTTTATGCGATCCATGATGATATATGTCAAATCTCTTGATTTAAAAAGTAAAAATTATATTTTGATGCGTATTTTAACAGCTGATATCTCAAAATGACTATCTATAATTTCTAAATTGACATCGGTTCAATAAAGTTTTTCATAACACCAATAGTCCTTGTAATTACA